TAAATCGATTAGTAAATCGATAAAAATATCGATAACAAAATCGATAAATATCGATAACAAAATCGATTTATAACGATAATAAAATCGACAAAGATCGACAACAAAAAAACCGATAAATACCGATAACAAAATCGATAAATATCGATAGCAAAACCGATAACAAAATCGACAAAAATCGCTAACAAAGGCGATAAATATCGACAACAAAGTCGATAAATATCGATTACAAAATCGATAATTATCGATAACAAAATCGATGAATATCGATACCAAAATCGATAAGTATCGATAACAAATCGATAAGTCTCGAGAATCTCGAAAATCTTAGAGGTTTTTCCCAAAATAGTTCCCAGATTGAGTCTCTGTGTCTCTCTCTCTATCCTTTCCTCTTTAATTACCTTTATTTTAATCTTTCTTCCCCTATCTTCATCTTTACTTTTATCGGTATCCTCATCCTCATCTTTGTTTTTACTTTTATGTTTATCATTTTCTTCATCAACATATTCCCCTTCACCTTTGCCCTTATATATATAAGTAAAGTGTTTAAATTTACCTTGGTCTTCGTTTTTACCTTTATCTTTACACATCTTTGTTTTTGTTTTTGTTTTTATTTTTACCTTTGCCTTTATAATTTTCTTTATCTGTGTACGCACTTTCATTCTTGTGTTGTATTTCTAAGTGTTATCCTCTAACCTTTTATTAGCAAGTTTTTGTTAAATTCATACCATATGCATACACACAAGAAGTACTTGTTTCAGCCCCAACTATTTCCGTTGCACCATTTCCGTTGCATCATTTCCGTTGCTCCATTTCCGTTGCACCATTTCCGTTGCATCATTTCCGTAGTAACATTTCGGAGTAACATTTTTGTCAATGGCGGTTCATGCCCTCTCCAAAAAGGTTGGACAGTGCCACGTCCACTCCCCCTTCGATCACCATCTCTTTAACAATCGTCCCTATTGGAAAGCCAACCCATATAGTTATTTATTTTTCACATTTATTGTTGCTTTGAAAAAGATTTCTAAGATATCTTATATATATAAGATATCTTATATAGATATAAAAAAAATTGTAGTCCTTTTTTATGTCATGTACTGCTTTTTTTCTATCGAAAATATAAATGTACTCCTTTCTCCGTTTCAAAATCTGGCAACCCTAGTGATATCTTCGACTATTGTAGCATCGACGTGGGGGTTGAGGCTGAGGAAATCTGATTTAAAAATTTGCTTCATACATTTAAGAACCACCCTAATGTACATATGTATGTATGTGTTAAGAAAAAATATGGTTTTAAATGTTGAAATAATGATTAAATATAATTTTTCTTTGATTGACCTCATAATACTTTTCGGCAGACGGCTGGGGAATTGATGAAACCAAGTTTTTCTGATAGTCTGTATAGTATATAGAAAAGTAATTTCTCAGTTTTCCCAGGCTATCGATTTTAAGCGTTTTCTTCAGTTGAAATTAGTGGTCGCAGAGCAGCTTTTAAAACAGTTAAAGTTGTTTTAAATGCAAATATTTACCTAAAACAGCCACTGGGTGCGCTTTGGTGCAAAAATGATAACATAAAACAATATTGTTTAGAAACATTATTTGCGCTTTTCCTTCATATTCCTTCAATGTTGTTTACATCATAGCGCACCCTGGCGGCCGTTTATGATAAAAAAAAAATTGCAAATGCGGATGGTATAAATATTTGCATTTAAATTACTTTTAGTTGTTTTAAATGCTGGTCTGCGACTTAAAATTGAAAAAAAGCTTAAAATCGCCAACCTGGGAAAACTGAGAAATCACTTTTCTTTGGACAATCCAAACTTCAAGAAAAACTTGGTTTTATCTATATAATGATTGGGGTCCCTGATAGAAAGTCAATTAGCTTCTCTAACTAAATTTGATATTTATGATACCTATTATTACCAGGGTAACGATGAGTTCTACTATGCAGCACCCTTAAAATTTTGAGAACTCATAAACCTAAAGTTCTCATTTAGCCTTAAATTTTGTCTAAATCTTTTGATTTTATGTAAAAAGAAGAGGCGGGACTAAACTTGTTGGACATAGATTTTATAGGTGCTACAGGTGATGAAAAAACTGCTTTCTCCTAGTTTTTGCTATGAGTACGTGGTAGAAAATAGAAAATTTATTAAAATATGCATTAGAGAAAAACTAGGACCCAAGGTGATGTGATCAGCTAATTTCTTTACCTTATATGTATTTTGTTTTTGCTTTTGCTGACTTGACAGCATACCCATCAAACTTATGGGCGAATTGAGTTTTGACATAACACCCGTAATACAAAATACATGTGGTTGTGGTTTTTGTATTCTTGCTACCACCTTGTAGAAATTCTCTTTGATAGGAGTACTAGATATCATTCCATTCAAGAATTTGTTCTTTTTAGAGTATTAATATTCGTCGCGCATCGCTTTTTCAAGGAGTTGACAGCATAACCTTTTTAATAGAGGTGGGCAACTCAACTCAGAGTTGAGTTATTGGGTTAACTCCCAACTCTCCTCTCAAAAAATATAACTCAATAACTCATTTCTCTAATATCGATCATTTTAGTTAACCATGAAAAATGACCATATAACTCGTAAGAGCCTGTCAGACGCAAGGCACATTAATACAGGTAGAAGCCAAAATGACGTTGCTCTCATGAGAACCAAACCTTTAAACTTCAACTTGTTTTTCTTTTATTTGAATGTCATATCGTTGTTTTTTTTTAATGTTCGTTAATAACAAATTTTAATTAACATGTGAATTTGAGTAGTGTTGTGCGGTTTATACTTAGTGTATGTGTTATAAATGCAACACCTGAAGCGTTGTTTTTTATGTGGTTTTAAATATGAAGCAGATACCACTAATTGTTTTTAACGTGCCTCAATGTCCTTCGCGTAAAGAGCGTTGCGAAAACAACTTTGGGGCAGAACTGCAGCGAAATGCCTTGCTGTGCGTTAAACATTTTAAAGCAGCAGATTTCATAAATGCACCGGGAGGTACAGGAAAGGCACTTTTGATACCAAGTGCTGTTCCTATGACCCTTATGCCGGAAAGTCCCTCCAACTCATAAATTAAAAACAGAAAACAACATACAAATTAACAAATTTTAACTAAAGAAAAAAAATAAAAACAAAACTTCAAATTTACTCAAAAACGTCAACCAGCGAAATGTAATTTTTTATTTTTCCTTACACACGCTCATTTTTATTTTTACTCTCCCGAAAACTTTGACTTTTGTAGGTTTGATGTCAATTTGGCTTCTACCTGTGTTTATTGTACCATGTGTCAGACGTGGCAATGCAATATATTTCGAAAAGACTGTCAAATTGAGAAATTTCAGAACGCATTCGCATAAGCAGTCACACCTTGAATGTAAAATGTCTTTCGAAAGAGTGTTTTTATTTCCGAAAGGTAGATTGCTAGTGCAGCACAAGCAAATTGAAATACATATATGTATTTCCGAAATCGATTTGCGCTCTCTCAATGGGAGTCACATCTCGCAAATTTTTTTTTCTGAAACTGATTGCCCTATGTAGGGAAAATTCCCTACTTGTAGGGATTTTCGGTCATAAAAATGGGTGCTAGGGGAAAAGGGCAGATTTTTTATATATCTTAAAATGTTGGAATGCATGTTGCACCGAGATATCGATAAACAAGGCGAATTGATGTACATATCGTCACCTAAGGGTGAAAAGGCGCCAAGTCCATTTGTTCAAATTGTTCAGGGGAGACAAAAAATCTATGTAACTTCGTATTACCTGCCATTCTTTAACAAAAACTAAATTTTGAAAAAAAAAATGGACTTCCCCTTTTCACCTTTAGGGTGCGTTATGTATATGAATTCGCCTTGTCGATAAGTGTGAAACTTTTAATTACTGTTGATATTTAAACTGAAGTGAATTGTGGATCCAATTTTGACGTTTAAAGCTGAAGATACCGCTCCAAAAATTATTCACGACGTTGCATAGGACACGCAAAAATATGTAGACAAACGTTTTCCAGTCATATTTTTCCAACAAATGCACATATCGATACCTGAGTGGAAGATCGATCTATCTCGGCAGCCAGTATGAAAACGCCTTATCTCAGAAAACTTTTCAAGAACGCCATACTTCAGAATTTGACTGAAGAATGCCCTATTTCGGAATTTGACTGAAAAATGCCCTATCTCAGCAGCCGGTTCAAAAACGTCCTATCTCAGCACATTTTCAATGTATTTTCAGATAAGATAGGACGTTTTAGAAGCGTCTTTGGGCGTCTTACTGGCTGTTCACACATCGAAATAAAATTTCTCTCTCTCAAGTTGACAGTGAATTGCATAGAAAAGTTAGAAATATTGCCACGTCTGACATGCTCTTTACACTTCGTTTCAGTTTCTTGGAAAAGGACTCAGCAGTATTAACAAACAAAAAACTCCTATGCACTTTTCTCCCTTACTCTTAAGAGTCTGAGCAAAGGCATCACAAGGTGCATACGAAAAGAGCCTTATGATATGCAATAATAAAATTAGTCGAATAAGTTGGTTGAATGAGCTGAGTGAGTTGGAGTTATCGAGTCAACTCCCGAAAATTGTTTGAGTTAACCACCTCTATGCTCTACGTCACTAACTACTTACTTAAATTATTCTTGCCTTCTTGGCTTTGCACATATCACCACACATTAAAATCACTTTTTGAAGCTGAGCATTTACAATAAGTATGTGCATACAAAAATATGTACATATATGGAGTAAATAGATAATCTTATCACCTCAGCGTCTTTCACTCAGCACCACAAAATTGTGTATTGCTTGCGATTAGCTCTGCACGTTGCCTTCTTTCCCTTGCGCTGCTCTGCTCTATGACATTAGTCTCCTTGCATTGTTTTTGTAATTGTAATTATCAAGTGTTTTTCATTTGTTTTACAGTTGTTGGTAATTATATTTGCATATGCATTTGTGTGACTCTTCTTTTGTTTACACCTCTCTTTTCTACTTATCCGTGCTCTATCCATCAAAAAAGGCATCTACTTGAAAATTCTCGAGTATAGTTTCTTAGTAACGCCGATAATTGTCACTTAACTGTTGATGGCCGTGGGTGGTGCGCGAGTTGCTTAAGAGAACCACGTGTAAATTTAATTGTAATTTGAGATAAACAAGAAAAGTGTAAAGTGCAAAGTGTTTGTATGTTTCGAAAAGAAAGTCAGAATTTTGAAAAGTGAAAATTCGAAAAATTCTCTTGCCAAATTTGTTTCTATTGCGCTTGTAAATTATTATTTTTCTTTTTTTTTAAGAAAAAACAAAACAAATTTAAGCAAAAAGTTTGTGCTAAGCAATAAAAACTAAAATATAGACAGAAAAATAAGAGGGAAAAATAGTTAAAACGCATTCATTTCGGGTTTCACTGCAATTACTTAAAGTGTTACAAGAAGTGTGTGCAAGCGCTTGAAAATATTATAATAATTTATTAAATAAATAAAGAAATCCTCAAAGAAGTGTCAATACAGTATGTCGAAGAAGGAAGATACACCGTTCGTCATGTGAGTAAGCAAAATTTTCCACGTTAGGGTTGCCAAAGGAAAGTTTAAAATAGTCTGGAATATAAGCAGAGAAAGGCTGCGTTTTTACTTATCTAAAGTCTTGAGTAGAAGGCCTGTGGCGCGATTCTGTAAACAGTAAGCAACAATATTCGGATCGCTATTGTAACTTGCCGACGCACAGTGGTTCAAAACTGGCATTTATTGTTCACAATTCACTTTTGCACTCAATTTAATTAAGTATTATATTTTAATGAAAGCTTAAGGAGACCGATTTTTTAATTTTTTTTTTTGCTAGTATTAAATTTTTTAATGTAAAGTGCGAAAACGGTAGCAAGAGTAGTTTCAGTTAACAAATGTTATCTACATAATAAAAACTATTTGAAAACAATAAAGGGGTTCCCCCAAAACGAATAAAATCCCCAAAAACTATTTTAAAAAAATTCAAATTTTTTTTGTGCATTTTTACCCGTTTTGGGGGAAACCCACAATCAACTAGTTTTTAACTGAACCAGGAGAATCGATTTTCTTCAAAATTGCTATTGAAATCTATCATATTATGCGTACATACTGACATACATTTGTACATAATGTAAATATTTAGTAATCTTTTTGAAGTTTTCTGTGCAAATAGCAGGTGCAAATACGTTCAGGGATGTTCAGCTCTAGCTACAGTACCAGGTATTGTGTTCGGAAAAATAGTTATTGAAATCGTGCGTATTGTTATCTTTCAAAATTAAATTGCAAAAAAATTAGTAACAAGTTATGGTTCCTATATTTCAGGCCCCTTAAAAAGTCTAGACCCGAGGGGATTCACCCTTCTTCCACCCCCTCTCGAAGGGCCTGTCAATCAGTATAATTTGTAAAACCAGGCAGAATTCAGACGACTAAATGCTGTTCCGTCGAGGGAGAGGGGTCTAGGGGTTCAATTGTTCCGAGCTCGGCTAAAGGTAAAGGACCACTTAGTAAAACTAAAAGTATTTAGCTACAAACACAAACGACTTCAATTCTCATATACAAATTTATCGTTAATTTCTTTATCATCCAATGATCGAATCTAAATCGAATAATTATAGGACCAGCCTTGAGGCACCACCTCTCTGATAAAAAGAATTTTAGAAATCGATTCACGTGGTCCACAGTTCTGCGGTGTAATACCTAAAAAATAAAAAAATATTCCGACGAATTGATAACCTCCTCCTCTTTTTAAGTCGGTTAAAAAAGGAATTAAATTTTGAAAAATGCAAATATGACAAATCATGGCATCAAACTTGATGCTGCCAGACCGCTGAAAATTTGGAATAATGATCTTGCGCTTTTTTATTCCGAATTTTCACTAAGGTTCATCCAAAAGAAAGAGTCTCACCTTATCCTATACACACATGACCTACAAAAATCGCACAGGTCTTCGGTGTCCTACCGTCGAATTGCCATTGGAACAGTAAATTCAATACGTATCTACGCCTGGATACGCTCCTATAGCTTTAAAATAGATTGCCGGCATAGGAGTAGGTGTTTTCTATTTCTCTGCCCCCCTAACAGTAAAAAGATCAGTCCACCTGCCTCACTTTGCAAGCGTGTTTTAAGGACTAAAGTTTGCGCTATTGCTGAATCCTTCACCCTTTTGAAGCGTGGTATATTCGTACGCCACTTCTAGGCCAATTATTATAGCCCAGGCGTTTTAGGTCGACTTAGTTTTGAGTCCCTGGTCAAACGCAATATTCTAAGAAACGAAGCAGCAGCAAGTGGGTTATGTAGAGAGGCTTTCACATTGACCGCAATCGATAATAAAGTACCACCCTTACATTCAATAATCATTGTCATACAATTTGGTAATAAATAGCACATGGCATCACGATGTCTACACACAATTGCATGCTCAAAAGAATACGCGAGTAAGGGTGCGTTCACATAGAAAGCCGAGCGGTGCTAAGGGAAGAAAGGCGGAGCGAAGCGAACGCCAGGTGTTCTCACAGAACGAGGCAGATGATTGGAGCTTTTCTCATGAACTCGGCTCGAACTCGGAAAAGCGGCAAAAATATTTACTCAATTTTATTCAAAAGATTAATTGAAAATTTGGTTTTTATTTTAATATTTTGATGTCTTGTGAGCAGCAGCACCATGAAGCTGAAAAATTAAAAAAAAAATTTAAAATCAAAAACTGCTTTGCTTTCAGCTCCAAAACGCCCCTGGAAAAGCTTGCCGCATGAACACTTTCATATACATATGTAGCTACAGCAATTTGAAAGCTTCACTCCGATCGGACCGGCGTCGTTCGGCTCGGCTCCGCTTTCTGTGTGAACACACCGTAAGTAGTTAGTGAAACGCCGGCCAAAAGTGGTTCGCATTGGTTATTGTTCATTTAGAAAGCTTGGTAACGCTCACAATGATTTTTTTAAAAGCTGTAGGAGACGGTAGCGGTTCTTAACAGATGTTTAGCTGTGATGAGGACAAAGAAGATCATACAGGCAATTTCAGTTCAAAGCTCTGCAAGATCAGTCTTTTTTGAGCCTCAACAACATACGCTGGACAACCACGCTGGTTGATTTAATATAGTCTTACGAAACTTACGGCACTGAAACGTACCCAGATAATCTCTATTGGATATATTTTTTGTGAATACGTCAAAAACGCTGGAATTTTCTGGTCAGATCTAGATGCTCGTATTTGGGTCGTAGGATTGATCTCAGTCTAGCAGATTTTTTCATTTTACAAAAGCGTACATATTTTATCTTATGTAAATGTGGTTCGGGCACTATCATATCCCGAATGGCTTTGACGAACCATGGACTTGATGTGGATCAGACCCACTTGATTGCTTAATGCAAATTTGTAAACTTTGATTGGTCTCACTCTTGATTTCTTCTCTGTCTACTTCGTTAGTCTTAATGGAAGTGGTGGAGCTACTTATCGATTTTTGGAACTACGTTAGATGTGCCTTCTGGACGCCGCTTATAATGCAAGGGGTCTATTTTTTGTCCCCTCGCAGTCTGTCCTTTTTATTTAGATAAAAAAAAAATGTGTATCCATAAAATATGCCCTCTAAATACCTGAGAAATGTTAGCTTATTTTCTCTTCATAAGAATTATTTCATTAAAGAGTCCATTAGCTGCCCTTTTCTTACACAAACGAACAAGGCACCTGCAAAGTATATATCGGTCTTCATCATAAAATACGCCGCGCCTATGTGGTGAAAGATAACATAAATGAAGTCCGCTCAGATCAAGATTAACAAACTGAAATGACTAGCCTGCGTGGGCATTACCAGAGCAATACTAAAAACAACTACTGCAGCTCTCGAGGCGCTTTAAGATCGGCTTTTTCAGCACATTGCAACCAAAAAGGAGGCTCTACTGTTTAATGAAAAACACATCTCGCTGGACAGGGCAGAATATAAGAAGCTAGTACATCGAAACGCACTCGGGGCAATAGAACAAGCCGAAGAACTTTACATTACCTTCGTGCACCTGTGCTTTCGTAGGTACTATTTCGATGGCAATTTTTAGATCATTTATTTAAGGCCTAGGAGCCTAAATAGGTCTGTCATGTCGTACCTCCTCTAATTAATTATCTAATCTTAGACGCCTGCTTTTGATTTGGTTGTCTTGCTGTTTAACTGCTTTTCGCGTCTGCCAAAAACCTGTCGTTTTGTAATTTTTCGTAACTCTCCCGTCTCATCTGATATCGTGCAAATGTATGTACAAATATTAGTCTATCGCCTGTCGCTTTGCCCTCGACAATCTCATCAAGTAAAGACTTGCTGGTGCAATCAATCGAAGCAAGCAACTCCAACTCAGCAATCAGAAAAGTGAGAAAAAAGCTAACAAATATCGTCAAACGTTGTCGGGTAGCTAAGACCTTGTGGACGTAGGGGGCATAGGGGACATAGGGATCATAACGCTCATATCGGTTACAACATAAACAACAGCAACAAAAATATCAAGGAAAGCAAACAGCTGCTGCTGCAGTCATCTGCCCCATCATTGATTGCATTAAATGGCAGGCATGGCAATTTGATTTTGCAAACGATTTGTAATGTGTGCGTGTGTGTGTACAGCTACTTGCCACACGATGACCCGTCAACATTTCTACTACACCGCAAAACTGTCAGCGCTGAATTACCGGCAATAATTCACTGATTATCGAGAAAGTGCAAAACGAGTTGGGTCAGAGGGTAAAAAAATGCTGCGGAAGCTGTTAACGGAAAGAGGCTATGCTGCTCGAAAGCAAAAAAAAAAAAAAAAAAAAGTTGAATGTATGGGAAAATTACATTTACTAGGAAATTTTGTGTAGAAAAATGCTGCCACATCACGATAATAAACGCTGATGCTGTAGGCGAGTGAGGAAAAGTTGGAGAGAACTGAGAGGTGGGGGTTTATCGAGTATGCTGATGCCTTTATCGCGTTGACCAGTGAACCGCTGTGGAGGGAGCGCCACAGCTCAGGTGATTGCTGCTGCAGTCATAGTTGCAGGGCCAACTACTTAGATTGCTGACAACAATGTTTGTACGCGTTGCTGTTGTTTCTCTTCAACAAACTTCAGTAGTCGCTGGGTAATTGGTGTGGTTGCAAAGTTGGCATTGATGTGGAGCCGCGCTAGCTAATGTTGATAGATAGACAGACCGATGGGGATGAAGGCGATAATGTTGTTGAGTTTGTTGAGCTGGTCGAGGCTTTAGTCGACAGGTAGGTACCTGGTCACTTGCCACTGGCCGTGTGGCGTGTGGCGTGAATAATGTGCTGCCTTGCGCAAACACTAGCTTTTGGTCATAATGAGGTGAACCACTTGGTGATAGTACTGCAAAGGAGCGCGTTGCAGAAGTAAAAAATCACTTCATCCGCTACTGTGGTTGACATTGGCAATGAGCAACATTTGTTGTCCTTCGCAAGCTGTTTGCTGCTGCTGCATCCCCGGCGTTGACACTTTTATGGGACGTTGGCGATGCGACTTACCCCCGCCCCCCAACTAATTGCACTAAGAATAAATTGCGGCTTTTAAAAAAT